TGACTTAAAGGTGACTTAATGGTGACTTAATGGTGACTTAAAGGTGACTTAAAGGTGACTTAATGGTTCTCAATTGTCTTAAAAACTTAAGGAAACAGCTTTAGGACGCTCTCACTACAATGTCGCTCTCACTACAATGTCGCTCTCACTACAATGTCGCTCTCACTACAATGTCGCTCTCACTACAATGTCGCTCTCACTACAATGTCGCTCTCACTACAAATGTCGCTCTCACTACAATGTCGCTCTCAATACAATGTCGCTCTCACTACAATGTCGCTCTCACTACAATGTCGCTCTCACTACAATGTCGCTCTCACTACAATGTCGCTCTCACTACAATGTCGCTCTCACTACAATGTCGCTCTCACTACAATGTCGCTCTCAATACACTGTTGGACGTGTTGGAAGTCCTGCAACACTTCTCAATGATTGTTACAGGTGTGTGAAGGTCTCCTTAGGCGTAGGAGTCACAGGAGTATGGGGGGGGGGGGGAGGGGGGTTCAGCTCCTAGTAACGCCCCTAGCAAGACCCCTTAGCAAGACCCCCTAGCAACGCTTCTAGTAACGCTCCTAGCAACACCCATAGCAACGCCCCTAGCTACGTCCCTAGCAACGCCCCTAGCAACGCCCCTAGCAACGCCCCTAGCAACGCCCCTAGCAACGCCCTTAGCAAGACCCCCTAGCAACGCTTCTAGCAATGCCCCTAGCAACGCCCCTAGCAACGCTCATAGCAACACCCCTAGCAACACCCCTAGCAACGCCCCTAGCAACGCCCTTAGCAACGCCCCTAGCAGCGCCCCTAGCAGCGTCCCTAGCAACGCCCCTAGTAACGCCCCTAGCAACGCCCCTAGCAACGCCCCTAGCAACGCCCCTAGCAACGCCCCTAGCAACACCCCTAGCAACGCCCCTAGCAATGCCCCTAGCAACACCCCTAGCAACGCCCCTAGCAACGCCCCTAGCAACTCTCTTAGCAACGCCCCTAGCAACGCCCCTAGCAACGCCCCTAGCAATGCCCCTAGCAACACCCCTAGCAACGCTCCTAGCAACGCCCCTAGCAACGCTCCTAGCAACGCCCCTAGCAATGCCCCTAGCAACTCCCTTAGCAACGCCCCTAGCAACGCCCCTAGCAACGCTCCTAGCAACGCCCCTAGCAACACTCCTAGCAACGCCCCTAGCAAGACTCCTAGCAACGCCCCTAGCAACGCCCCTAGCAAGACCCCTAGCAACGCCCCTAGCAACGCCCCTAGCAACACCCCTAACAACGCCCCTAACAACACCCCTAACAACGCCCCTAGCAACGCCCCTAGCAACGCCCCTAGCAACACCCCTAGCAACGCCCCTAACAACGCCCCTAACAACGCCCCTAGCAACGCCCCTAGCAACGCCCCTAGCAACACCCCTAACAACACCCCTAACAACGCCCCTAGCAACACCCCTAGCAACGCCCCTAGCAACACCCCTAACAACGCCCCTAGCAACGCCCCTAACAACGCCCCTAGCAACGCCCCTAACAACGCCCCTAGCAACGCCCCTAGCAACACCCCTAACAACGCCCTAACAACGCCCCTAGCAACGCCCCTAGCAACGCCCCTAGCAACGCCCCTAACAACGCCCCTAGCAACGCCCCTAGCAACGCTATCCTAAACACCCAGGTACTAAACAGATAAAAAAAAACGTACTCACCTACTAGTGCTTGCGGGAGTTGAGCTCCGGCTCTTGGGTCCCGCCTCTCAACACTATATCAATAAGAATTTCCCTTCCTTGTGTTTCCTAACTCAATACAGATTATTGATATATATATATATATATATATATATATATATATATATATATATATATATATATATATATATATATATATATATATATATATATATATAACCCTTTCACTGTCATTAATGTTGTCGGCAACTTTGATCTTTCAAAGTTAACTTTATGACCGAGTCCCCTTGTGCTCTGAATACAAATTCGAAGATTTATTTTCAAGTGCGGGTGTCGCTGCGATATACCGGGAGAGAGAGAGAGAGAGAGAGAGAGAGAGAGAGAGAGAGAGAGAGAGAGAGAGAGAGAGAGAGAGAGAGAGAGAGAGAGAGAGAGAGAGAGAGAGAGAAGAGGAGAGAGAGGGAGGGAGAGAGAGAAGAGAGAGAGAAGAGAGAGAGAGAGAGAGAGAGGGAGAGAGAGAGAGAGAGAGAGAGAGAGAGAGAGAGAGAGAGAGAGAGAGAGAGAGAGAGAGAGAGAGAGAGAGAGAGAGAGAGAGAGAGAGAGAGAGAGAGAAGAGAGAGAGAGAGACAATACACATTGCGTTCCCCTTCTCATGTTAAGAATGTGTCTGAACACACCAATGATATAAATCTAAATCTATAAATTATATCTCCACCGAAGATATAAATCAATGATTCCATATGCAAAAGTTATTGATAATTGATTAATGTTCGTTTAACTCTCGTATTTAATCGAAGATTTGATTATTATTACACTTGGGCATCTACAGTGGTTGACAGCCATCTACAGTGGTTGACAGCTATCTACAGTGGTTGACAGCTATCTACAGTGGTTGACAGCTATCTACAGTGGTTGACAGCTATCTACAGTGGTTGACAGCCATCTACAGTGGTTGACAGCTATCTACAGTGGTTGACAGCCATCTACAGTGGTTGACAGCCATCTACAGTGGTTGACAGCCATCTACAGTGGTTGACAGCTATCTACAGTGGTTTGACAGCCATCTACAGTGGTTACAGCTATCTACAGTGGTTGACAGCCATCTACAGTGGTTGACAGCCATCTACAGTGGTTGACAGCCATCTACAGTGGTTGACAGCTATCTACAGTGGTTGACAGCTATCTACAGTGGTTGACAGCTATCTACAGTGGTTACAGGTATCTACAGTGGTTGACAGCTATCTACAGTGGTTGACAGCTATCTTCAGTGGTTGACAGCTATCTACAGTGGTTGACAGCTATCTACAGTGGTTGACAGCTATCTACAGTGGTTGACAGCTATCTACAGTGGTTGACAGCTATCTACAGTGGTTGACAGCTATCTACAGTGGTTGACAGCTATCTACAGTGGCTGACAGCTATCTACAGTGGTTGACAGCTATCTACAGTGGTTGACAGCTATCTACAGTGGGTTGACAGCCATCTACAGTGGTTGACAGCCATCTACAGTAGTTGACAGGTATCTTCAGTGGTTGACAGCTATCTACAGTGGTTGACAGCCATCTACAGTGGTTGACAGGTATCTTCAGTGGTTGACAGCTATCTACAGTGGTTGACAGCTATCATCAGTGGTTGACAGCTATCTACAGTGGTTGACAGCTATCTTCAATGGTTGACAGCTATCTACAGTGGTTGACAGGTATCTACAGTGGTTGACAGCTATCTACAGTGGTTGACAGCTATCTACAGTGGTTGACAGCTATCTACAGTGGTTGACAGCTATCTTCAGTGGTTGACAGCTATCTACAGTGGTTGACAGCTATCTACAGTGGTTGACAGGTATCTACAGTGGTTGACAGCTATCTACAGTGGTTGACAGCTATCTTCAGTGGTTGACAGCTATCTACAGTGGTTGACAGCTATCTTCAGTGGTTGACAGCTATCTTCAGTGGTTGACAGCTATCTTCAGTGGTTGACAGCTATCTACAGTGGTTGACAGCTATCTACAGTGGTTGACAGGTATCTACAGTGGTTGACAGGTATCTACAGTGGTTGACAGCTATCTTCAGTGGTTGACAGCTATCTACAGTGGTTGACAGGTATCTACAGTGGTTGACAGGTATCTACAGTGGTTGACAGCTATCTACAGTGGTTGACAGCTATCTTCAGTGGTTGACAGCTATCTACAGTGGTTGACAGCTATCTTCAGTGGTTGACAGCTATCTACAGTTGTTGACAGCTATCTTCAGTGGTTGACAGCTATCTACAGTGGTTGACAGGTATCTACAGTGGTTGACAGGTATCTACAGTGGTTGACAGGTATCTACAGTGGTTGACAGCTATCTACAGTGGTTGACAGCTATCTACAGTGGCTGACAGCTATCTACAGCGGCTGACAGCTATCTACAGTGGTTGACAGGTATCTACAGTGGTTGACAGCTATCTACAGTGGTTGACAGCTATCTACAGTGGTTGACAGCTATCTACAGTGGTTGACAGCTATCTACAGTGGCTGATAGCTATCTACAGTGGTTGACAGCTATCTACAGTGGTTGACAGCTATCTACAGTGGTTGACAGCTATCTACAGCGGCTGACAGCTATCTACAGCGGCTGACAGCTATCTACAGTGGTTGACAGCTATCTACAGTGGTTGACAGGTATCTACAGTGGTTGACAGCCATCTACAGCGGCTGACAGCTATCTACAGCGGCTGACAGCTATCTACAGCGGCTGACAGCTATCTACAGCGGCTGACAGCTATCTACAGCGGCTGACAGCTATCTACAGTGGTTGACAGCTATCTACAGTGGTTGACAGCTATCTACAGTGGTTGACAGGTATCTACAGTGGTTGACAGGTATCTACAGTGGTTGACAGCTATCTACAGTGGCTGACAGGTATCTACAGCGGCTGACAGCTATCTACAGTGGTTGACAGCTATCTACAGTGGTTGACAGGTATCTACAGTGGTTGACAGCTATCTACAGTGGTTGACAGCTATCTACAGTGGTTGACAGCTATCTACAGTGGTTGACAGCTATCTACAGTGGCTGACAGCTATCTACAGTGGTTGACAGGTATCTACAGTGGTTGACAGCTATCTACAGTGGCTGACAGCTATCTACAGTGGTTGACAGGTATCTACAGTGGTTGACAGGTATCTACAGTGGTTGACAGCTATCTACAGTGGTTGCTAGCTATCTACAGTGGCTGATAGCTATCTACAGTGGTTGACAGGTATCTACAGTGGTTGACAGGTATCTACAGTGGTTGACAGGTATCTACAGTGGTTGACAGGTATCTACAGTGGTTGACAGCTATCTACAGTGGTTGACAGGTATCTACAGTGGTTGACAGGTATCTACAGTGGTTGACAGGTATCTACAGTGGTTGACAGCTATCTACAGTGGTTGACAGGTATCTACAGTGGTTGACAGCTATCTACAGTGGTTGACAGGTATCTACAGTGGTTGACAGGTATCTACAGTGGTTGACAGGTATCTACAGTGGCTGACACCCATCTACAGTGGCTGACACAGTGGCTGACACAGTGGCTGACACCCACCTACAGTGGCTGACACAGTGGCTGACACAGTGGCTGACACCCACCTACAGTGGCTGACACAGTGGCTGACACAGTGGCTGACACCCACCTACAGTGGCTGACACAGTGGCTGACACTCATCTACAGTGGCTGACACCCACCTACAGTGGCTGACACCCATCTACAGTGGCTGACACCCATCTACAGTGGCTGACACCCACCTACAGTGGCTGACACAGTGGCTGACACCCACCTACAGTGGCTGACACAGTGGCTGACACAGTGGCTGACACCCACCTACAGTGGCTGACACAGTGGCTGACACAGTGGCTGACACCCACCTACAGTGGCTGACACAGTGGCTGACACCCACCTACAGTGGCTGACACAGTGGCTGACACCCATCTACAGTGGCTGACACCCATCTACAGTGGCTGACACAGTGGCTGACACCCACCTACAGTGGCTGACACAGTGGCTGACACAGTGGCTGACACCCACCTACAGTGGCTGACACAGTGGCTGACACCCATCTACAGTGGCTGACACAGTGGCTGACACCCACCTACAGTGGCTGACACAGTGGCTGACACCCACCTACAGTGGCTGACACAGTGGCTGACACTCATCTACAGTGGCTGACACAGTGGCTGACACCCACCTACAGTGGCTGACACAGTGGCTGACACCCACCTACAGTGGCTGACACAGTGGCTGACACCCCACCTACAGTGGCTGACACAGTGGCTGACACCCACCTACAGTGGCTGACACAGTGGCTGACACCCACCTACAGTGGCTGACACAGTGGCTGACACCCACCTACAGTGGCTGACACAGTGGCTGACACTCATCTACAGTGGCTGACACCCACCTACAGTGGCTGACACAGTGGCTGACACTCATCTACAGTGGCTGACACCCACCTACAGTGGCTGACACCCATCTACAGTGGCTGACACAGTGGCTGACACCCACCTACAGTGGCTGACACCCACCTACAGTGGCTGACACAGTGGCTGACACCCACCTACAGTGGCTGACACAGTGGCTGACACCCACCTACAGTGGCTGACACAGTGGCTGACACCCACCTACAGTGGCTGACACAGTGGCTGACACCCACCTACAGTGGCTGACACCCACCTACAGTGGCTGACACAGTGGCTGACACCCACCTACAGTGGCTGACACCCACCTACAGTGGCTGACACCCACCTACAGTGGCTGACACAGTGGCTGACACCCATCTACAGTGGCTGACACAGTGGCTGACACCCACCTACAGTGGCTGACACAGTGGCTGACACCCACCTACAGTGGCTGACACAGTGGCTGACACCCACCTACAGTGGCTGACACCCCCCTACAGTGGCTGACACCCACCTACAGTGACTGACACAGTGGCTGACACCTACAGTGGCCCACCTACAGTGGCTGACACCCACCTACAGTGGCTGACACAGTGGCTGACACCCACCTACAGTGGCTGACACAGTGGCTGACACCCACCTACAGTGGCTGACACAGTGGCTGACACTCAAACAGGCAAGAGGTGTGAAGAGATAAGCAATCGTGCAGGAATCATGTTAGTGTAAGAACAAGGATGTAGATGTGGCTGTAACGATGAACAGAGAACTTTACAAGAACACGACAAGAACACAAGAATGTAAACAGAACAAGTAAGAACATCGTACAAAGTGTGTCTAACTAATCTCTAAGATCTTTAATGTCCTCATCAATACATTTTGCCGTGTTTTCAATGGATGAAAGAAACTTTTTAACACACTTTGCAGATATCTGTGTGTGTGTGTAATGATTTAAAATGTAAAAATAATTCACATATGAGTTAATACGACTTTGAGAGATTCGTCAATGGCCGTGTGGGGGTCGCTTTGGTGGCATTACAAGTGGGCCTCGTATCATTCGTGCCAACCCCCGACCTGCCCATGTTGAGCACATACCACACAGCAATTACTATTAAAAATTGAGTAAGATAGGAGATGTACTTGGTAAACTGTTCAATAACCCAGGTCACAGTCAAACAGGATCTTGACTGGTAAACCGCTTGACTGATTCGGAGTGAGCAGTTGGCTCTTGACCCCCTTGTTTTGACCGCGAGTTTCACCGGAAAATGATAAAGGCGTTGCTTGAGTGCTTGACTGAGGGGAAACACCTTCATGATCCTGATTAATATTTCTCGCAGAAAAGACTGAGAGAGATGAGGGAGATAGTGAGGAAGATAGTGAGGGAGATAACCTGCTGCCAGTGGTACCAACTGTTCCAGCAACACAGTAACCTGCTGCCAGTGTTACCAACTGTTCCAGCAACACATTAACCTCCTGCCAGTGGTACCAACTGTTCCAGCAACACAATAACCTCCTGCCAGTGTTACCAACTGTTCCAGCAACACAATAACCTCCTGCCAGTGTTACCAACTGTTCCAGCAACACAATAACCTCCTGCCAGTGTTACCAACTGTTACACAACAGTGTTCCAGCAGCAACACAATAACCTACCCTGCCAGTGGTACCAACTGTTCCAGCACACAACCTCCTGCCAGTGTTACCAAGTCCAGCAACCCAATAATCTCCTGCCAGGTTACCAAAAACCTCCTGCCAGTGGTACCAACTGTTCCAGCAACCTGCTGCCACCAGTAACCTGCTGCCAGTGGTACCAACTGTTCCAGCAACACAATAACCTCCTGCCAGTGTTACCAACTGTTCCAGCAACACCAATATAACTTTTCTTCCTGAACATGTAAACAAAAATCAGCTGATTTCTCTCCTTATTGCGTTGATGGTGAGACACCTCACATAGTGAAGGTGAGAGACTGATGTAGGGAAGGGGGGGGAGGGAGGTGAGAGGTGAGGTAAGGCATGTAGGGAGTCTAGAATGCAGGAACTGATGAGGATAGAGATGAATAGGAATAGTTTATAGGGGAGATAAGGAATAGATCCCTAACTTCCCCCCTCTAACTAAATCTTATGAAGCCTCAAACACCCATTTCGAACACTGTAACTTTAACAACAACAGTCTCGGATATGCGAGAACACGGCCCAAACGGTTAAGACACGTGTGCCGCCTGCCATGGGCGAAAAGTTCCCGATGTTTATCGGTCAAATTATCCGCATTGAGGTGTAAATACGGCGCTCTGAGCGCGCCTCGTGACGGCCTGTACTCCGAACACCCTGATCGATACCCGCTATTAAGTGCGACGTCACCCATCCGAGACGCCGGGCCAGCGACCGGATGGGTGATGATGAGGGCCGAGAGACTCATAAATACTCATCGCTTCCCTTAATTTACATAGTGAGTAAAGCCAATCTGATGGGCCGGTCCCCCTGAGACCTGATCTACGAAGACTGATAGTGACCTGGGGGTATATCACAGTGACCTGGGGGTATATCACAGTGACCTGGAGGCATATCACAGTGACCTGGGGGTATATCACAGTGACCTGGGGGTATATCACAGTGACCTGGAGGCATATCACAGTGACCTGGGGGTATATCACAGTGACCTGGAGGTATATCACAGTGACCTGGGGGTATATCACAGTGACCTGGGGGTATATATCACAGTGACCTGGTATATCACAGGCTGGAGGTATATCACAGTGACCTGGGGGTATATCACAGTGACCATATCACAGTGGGGGTATATCACAGTGACCTGGGGGTATATCACAGTGACTTGGGGGTATATCACAGTGACCTGGTGGTATATCACAGTGACCTGGAGGCATATCACAGTGACCTGGAGGCATATCACAGTGACCTGGAGGTATATCACAGTGACCTGGGGGTATATCACAGTGACCTGGAGGCATATCACAGTGACCTGGGGGTATATCACAGTGACCTGGGGGTATATCCAGTGGAGGTATATCACAGTGACCTGGGGGTATATCACAGTGACCTGGAGGCATATCACAGTGACCTGGAGGTATATCACAGTGACCTGGAGGTATATCACAGTGACCTGGAGGTATATCACAGTGACCTGGGGGTATATCACAGTGACCTGGGGGTATATCACAGTGACCTGGGGGTATATCACAGTGACCTGGAGGTATATCACAGTGACCTGGGGGTATATCACAGTGACCTGGAGGTATATCACAGTGACCTGGAGGTATATCACAGTGACCTGGGGGTATATCACAGTGACCTGGAGGCATATCACAGTGACCTGGGGGTATATCACAGTGACCTGGGCATATTCACAGGTAGGTATATCACAGTGACCTGGGGGTATATCACAGTGACCTGGGGGTATATCACAGTGACCTGGAGGTATATATATCACAGTGACCTGGAGGTATGACATCACAGTGACCTGGAGGCATATATCACAGTGACCTGGACATTATCACAGTGACCTGGGGGTATATCACAGTGACCTGGGGGTATATCACAGTGACCTGGAGGTATATCACAGTGACCTGGAGGTATATCACAGTGACCTGGAGGTATATCACAGTGACCTGGAGGCATATCACAGTGACCTGGAGGCATATCACAGTGACCTGGAGGTATATCACAGTGACCTGGAGGCATATCTGACATCACAGTGACCTGGAGGTATATCACAGTGACCTGGAGGTATATGGCTGACATCACAGTGACCTGGAGGCATATGGCTGACATCACAGTGACCTGGAGGTATATGTCTGACATCACAGTGACCTGGAGGTATATGGCTGACATCACAGTGACCTGGAGGTATATGGCTGACATCACAGTGACCTGGAGGCATATGGCTGACATCACAGTGACCTGGAGGCATATCACAGTGACCTGGAGGCATATGGCTGACATCACAGTGACCTGGAGGCATATGTCTGACATCACAGTGACCTGGAGGCATATCACAGTGACCTGGAGGTATATGGCTGACATCACAGTGACCTGGAGGCATATATCACAGTGACCTGGAGGCATCACAGTGACCTGGAGGCATATCACAGTGACCTGGAGGTATATCACAGTGACCTGTATATGGCTGACATCACAGTGACCTGGAGGTATATGGCTG